AAACTCAAGAATCCACTTTGCATAATATAGATCTGTGACAAACTGAACTTTTGACCAATTAAACAAGCATTCATTTAATTTTACACACTTGTTAATTTGTTAATTTCTCCATAACCAACTAAACTGCTAAATAAAACTTTCTCGGATTTGTTTTATTTACTCTTTGTTTAGTTCCTTTAAATTCAACACAACACACAAATTACTTTAAGATACTTTATTTAATTTAGTTATGCATCAGTTCCTCCAGACAGACCCACCTCCTCACCTGTTCCTCCACATGGTCTGGAGACAAAAGAAGGAGCGTGCCTGAGGACGAACACTTTTAAAGCCTCTGGGGGTAGTTTTGGGCCAGACCATGGGAAGAATACATTGGAAGCATGTAGATGACGACTTCCAGCGTAGTTTCTGACACTGGACATGTGATAAACCGAGGATTCAGCAGCAGCGTCTTCACAACATGACAAAGCTTTTCATACAGACAGCAGCTCACACATCACATTATAACACAATAACAAAAAAGGTAATAAACTTCTAAATAAGTAGCAATAAAAAATGGCAAGAGACTGGTGTCAATAAAACATAAAATATCTCTCTTTTCCAGAGGAGCGTCCACCAACGGCTTGTTTCCATGGAGATGTCTTTGCACTGCCTGGAATTTTCTGCAGCACGGCATTAAACATTTCCATTTCCAAAGAAACAAACAAACAGGTGATGCTGCTAGGTGAAGATACATGTCAGATCTGTGGAGAGGCGACTACACTGACAGTGAGAATGCAGTTTTGAAGGTATGTTTGAACTATAAACATAACTGTCATTTATTTAAAGGTGGACAATGTAACTTTTTGGTTGAGGGTCCATCACCTGTTTGTTTCTATGGAGATGTTGTTGCTCTACCTGGAATGTTCCACAGTGTGACATTAAACAGCTCTACTTTACATTTATTCAATTACAGGTGGTTTTATGGCTCAAAAAACCTAGAAAAAACTGCATTGTGCCTGGTTTGATCTCCATGGAAACGGACCTTTAATCTCAAATAAAACTGCAAACACATGAAACTTGACTCAAACTCCCATTTGTGTGTGACAGCAAATACCGTCACGCCACAACAAAGCCCGTGTATTGTGGAAACTCTACTGCAGGGTTGTGGGTTTGATTCCCTGTTGTGTAAAACCCAATCGGCAGCAGAAACTCTTCCCACAACAAAGGGCCCCGCCGGCATGAGGGAGGGGCCCGGAGCCACCATAGTCCTGCTTACACAACCAAACCCCACACGCTCATTACTGACTAAGTGTTCTTGGAATTGAAATATTTGATAAACACAACACTACTCCACACACTGTACTTTTACTCCTACTTGAGTTATACTGTAGATTGTACAGTGTAACAGTACTTTTACTTGAGTAAAAGTTGTGTTTTCTCTTCTCACTGTAAGTGGCAAAAGTTGACATTATGAAATTATTTGAAAATTTGCGCTCCTTCATATGATTTTGTCTCATTTTTGTGTCTGTTCTTTGAAAACACAATGATTTAAAGGTCAAGAAATGGACTCTTTGTGTTTTGAGTCATGTTCAAATAAAGTGTCAGTCCCAGTTTTGAGTCGTGTCCCCGGTCCCAGCAGATTTATCCACAACCACTGATTTGTCCCAGTTTTTTACCCAAAAAAAAAAAAATTTTTTTGCAGATTTTCAGATACCATATTTGTCAGACTATAAGTCGCTCCGGAGTATAAGGCGCATCAGTCAAAAAATGCATAATGAAGAAAAAAACATGTATAAATCGCATCAGAATATAAGTCACACTTTTTGGGGGAAATGTGTTTTATAAAATCAGAGACCAGGAACCGACATTTCATCTTGAAAGGCAAATTCTAGTAATGACAATAGAAGAGAGAACAACAGACTGTTAATGTCACATATGAACAGTTCTTCAGATAAACTATAACATAAACAACAGAACAGAACAAGTTTACCAAACTCTCCATCTCACTCCAAATCACTAAATCCATTCAATTCTTCATCCTTGGTGTCACTGCTGAGCAACTCCACGACTTCCAGAAGTAAATGGAGCGACACTTCCTCTTCTGTGTAGCTGTCATCAGACTCAGCATCAGTTCCAGTTAGAATTAATTTGGTCTTTCTGAATTCCGACAGGATGGTTTCAGTGTCACTGAAGTCCAGGCTTTGTCCATCATCCAGTGACTTCAGGAAAGTTTCATGGTGCATCCTCCCAGTGTCACAAGTTTCTCACTCACTCCAAACTTTTTTTCTGCTGCTCGATTACCGTTTTTAGCTGCAGATTTCATGACTTCACATTGAAATCTGCAAACATGAGTCCAGAGTGTAAGTCATAGGACCACCCAAACCATGAAAAAAAGTGACTTATAGTCCGGTACAAACAAAAACTGTGCCTTATAAAAGTAAACAGTTTACATGAAAATAAAAGAAATGCATACAAAACACAACAGTGAATAAACCCATATGTACATATAAAAGAGGTAATTGAAAAGCTTTAAAGGAATCACTTCAAATCATTCAAAAAAGACATCAGAAAACCAGCCTCTTTTCAGGTCATTCCTCAAGTGTTCTGTTTGGTTTAAGCCTAAAGAAATGACATTTGTGAATAAAATGTTTACCTAAAATCAATAAATTGTTGATACCAAATTCCATTTTGCTATCATCATCTTTGCAGAACAAGATTATCAGAGCCAAATATATCTGGACCAAATCACTATGAAGGAAGTCCAGCTCATCCATCTGTGGAGTAACAGTGCCACCTAAAGTCTGGAGGCTGTGTGTGTTTTGGAATTATTTACAAATGTCTCTAGTGAATAAACAGCCTCAAAAACAAATGTAGTCCTATCTTATTTTTACACGCTATTAAGAAAATGCAGAACAACTTGTACAATGTGTTAATATTGCAATATTTTATTTTAGTATCACTTTCTGAGACAATACGTTTGGTTAAAGTAAAGACACAAGTGGGCAGGCCCTAATCTTCTAGAAAAAATGTGTAAATGAAAAATTAAAGCCACAGTATGTAACTTTTTGCTGAAAAATAGACAAAAATAAAAGCTTTTTTCCCCCCATTTTGGTTGTTATTAGATTTAGACAAACTTTATTGATCCACAAGGGAAATGACTTGGACACAGTAGCTCACACATCACAATATAATATAATAACAAAGAGTAAAATTTAAATGGTAATAATACATTCTAAATAAGTAGTAAAAATAACAAGAAACTGGTGTCAAATAAGGCATAAAAATATCTAAAAAATGTATGTACAAGTAAAAATAAAAGATAGAAATATTTATTTATTATTTATTGCAATGAGAAACACACGTCCTCATTGTGAGCAGTTTGCATCTCCACAGATCTGACTCTTTTTGATCTGTTTCTATGGAAATATTTGCCTATAATATTCCACAGTATCACAAAAGATGTATCTGTCCTCATATAAAATGTTCCGAAGTGTGGTTTTAACTCTTTATTTCCATGGAATCATGCAGCTGACGTGCCACCTCCAGAAGAGTACATACTGTAGCCTTAAAGGTGCACTGTGTAACTTCTAAGGTGGATGACTGGCTACTTGCTGGTCTCCATGGATGTGTTATTCCTTTGCATGGAATATTCCACTATATGGCATTAAAATGATCTGCATTGCATGTACTCAATTGCAGGTGTTTTTTAGCTCAAAAAAACCCTTAAAAAACATGAATTATGACTATGTGTGGGCTCGCTTCTCCATAGCTCTGACCTGTAACTGCATTGTGACAACCAACATGCACATCCAACTAAAACTGTGTGTGCTGAGTCCAAAGATAAAAACAGTACAAAAAAGAAAAGAGATCCGCACTGTAGTTCTTTGAAGCTCCCAAATTTAAATTGGCCTGAAAGGTCACATTGTGGTGTCACTGAAATCAAAATTTGGGAGCTTCAAAGAACTGCAGTGCGGATCTTTTCTTTTTTTCTTTTTTTTATAACCAAGTTTATTCACCAGAGGAAGTTGTCTTAAAGAAGGGGTTCTCAAACTGTGGGGAGGGTCAAAAAAGGGGCACAGTGTTTCAGTGCAGTACAGTTTGCTTGGCTTTGTAGTAAGTAAATCATTTTGACTTGGTCATTTTATGCAGGGCTCTAGTTCACGTGTTAGTTTCAGCGAGGGTGGCATAGCTTTCATCGCAGTGTCTCGTACGTACTAGAGGCCGCAAGGGAATGCAAAACACGCAGTTTTTGAGAAACACTAGAATAGAGCTAGAAGCTGAAGTTTAGTCATAATCATTTATTTAATGGCCTTTTGAAGTTATTTGTACATGTGTCTACACTGTAAACATTTGGTATTGTGTTAATGTTATTTGGTAGGTGCCCATAGGATCTTCGGCGGGCGGGGCCCCAGGTACCCCTTTGCCTAGGGCCCCCAAATACCTTGAAACGGGCCTGTTTATTCACATGCTGTGTAACATTCAAGGAAAAGCAATTAAATTACATGGCCATGGAGAGAAACAGGTAGCGGACCCTCCACCAGAAAATTTACACAGTTCAATTTTAACATGACTAATATACAGTCCATTTCTGAACCTTAGTTGTTTTTACTTCAAGATCTTAAATGGGAAGCTACGATGTCACTTGAAAAGCTCAAGACAATTGTAAAGTGTGCAGAGACTGAGACATGTGTGTGTGTTTTCCTTGAGACATGCGAAAGGTTTTAGTATAACGTGATACTTATGATTTGACTGTTTTGTTTTGATTGTGTTGCTGCTGCCTTGGCCAGGTCTTTCTGGAAAAAAAATCTGAATCTCAGTGGGACCTCCTGATAGAATAAAGATGAAATAAACAAAAATAAAAATGTCAGTATGTTTTTTTTGCATCGTTTTACCTCTGCTTTACTGGTTGATACTGTGTTTGCGTTGACTGCCTCGGCTTTTTATTGCTACCAGACAGAGTCAACAAACCTCATGACGATCACAAGCTGCAGTATAAAAGCGTAAAAAAACACAAAGGACCGTTTGGCTGGTTGATAGTGCATAGTTTAGTAAATATACAAAGTCAAATTCAACAAAACATCTCACTGCATGTTCAGTTTCCGTACAAACAGCATCATGGTATTTTCATTGTACAAAGATACATTCTGAATTGCAAAGGCTCAATCATTGAAATAAATACTGACATGGCTAAAAGCGACACCCCCCCTCACTCACTCTCTCACGCAAACGAATGACAAGATACTAGAATACTTCAACACAAAATGGCTGCCCACTTTAAAGGAACTGTATGTGGTCTGTGCACTTTTTAAACAGCTACTACTCGATACTCAATACAGATTTTGATAAGCACATTAAAACTGTAAAAGCTTTTTTTTGTTTAGAGAAATTTGTGATTTTCAACAACAAATAATAGTATGTGGTGAACATCTACTAGTCCTGATAAAAGTCCAGCTAAAACTGTTCAGGAAAGGTCCAATTTTATCCAGTTGTGCGATTCTTTTCCAGTATCGATACTTACTTAAATATTTAGTTTCTAGTTTTCGATACTAGTTCAGATCAGAGCGAGTCCTTTTAGATTCAAACCAACTGGATTTCAGCCTCATGTTATTATGTTTTTGTAATTCAGAATATCTAGGAGCACAGTTAAGTCACGAAAACGCCATTTAAAATCAAAACCTTCCACGCAGTTCCTTTAAAAGCAAAACATTACAAATGAACAATAAGAGTTCAATGGCAAACCAGATATGATGACATTGACAACATTTGTGATAGTCCGTTTCATTTTCTTTCAAAAAATAGTTCTCCGACGATTTCCACGTACGAAATTCTGAAAAATAGACCTGTCTATCTACATTACAAAATCGACATCGAGGCAGACGCACAAGTCACAAATTCATATTAGAGTTTTTCCTTTGGTTTCGAACACAACATTCTAAGGAGACTAAATAAATAGAGATTTTAAATGTTGATACCTAAGGCAGCGGTCGGGACAAATGAACAGAATACCACCAGGAATACTCGGATTCTGAAAAACGTTGAAACAAAATGCAAAATGTGATCTGGAAGAAAACTGGTTAATGAGAGCAATTATACTAAGAAATAAAAATCTGTTGCAAAGGATTTTCTGAAATGACAAATTGTACTACAGCAAATTAGGTTAATTCATTGAAATACTTTTTGGTTTCAAACTATTTTAAAGGCTCTGTACATGATTTTCCCCTCGTGTATTTGAGCAAAACGTGTCCGATATATTGTAAAAGCAGCTCTTGAGGTCCACGCTGTACTGGCTTTATCTAATTGTAAAGCATTTTATTGTCTGAGAATCAGGAAGTGTGTTGTTGTTGTTAGCTTTATCATGTCAAAACTCTGCTCTGGTCTCTGAAAGTTGTGAAAAGTAAACTCATAGCAGTGAATAATTGTGTGAATAATCTTCAGAATGCATAAGGTAAGTGAGGTATAACTTCGGTTCACTGAAATTGCTGCTTTTTTAGATTGCTTTTAAAGGGACAAGCCGGAATTTTGCACATAGGACGTCATTTCCTAGTGAGCTAGAGTGTTGGAGACATGTGGAGACACTTTTTGAAATATTCCATCCAGTCCTTGTATTTGCAGAGGTCGCTGGTGCTAGGCTAGTGCATGTCAATGGTCATAGTTATCCTGCCACTATAAACAGTCTTACCCACTCCACAAAACACCCAAAACAAATCTATTATTACACCAGACTGTCCATGTAAATGTCTGTGTTGATAGAATAATGTTTGAAATAAAAACAACTTTGCATCGCATGAATCGTCGCACGTTGAAGGACTACAGAAATTTACTTTGCTCTACTCAACTCACGTCAACAGAATTGTGAGACTTGTTGTAGCTACCGTAAATTCTGCACCTCAGTATAAGCCACATCAATTAAATTTAAGTAACTTTAAAAATTGTACATATATAGGCCGCACTTGAATATAAGCCGCAGGTGTCCACGTCTTCAAGAACGTTTTCAAGTTCAGACCGTCTGCTTTTATCGCCTCTGAAATCTTTTGTCGTCTTTTTGCAGTTTGTCACGCTGCCGTCATCAAAATCTCACCATCGACTCATTTCTGTGCGTATCCGCCGTGTTGCCAAACCATAGAGTGTATATATGAATGAACAATGTGCCAAACAAAGAATCCGTCCATATATTCATCGCATGGTTTTATTAGCCGCAGGGTTCAAAGTGTGAGAAAAAAGTAGCGGCTTATAGTTCGGAATTTACGGCAGTCCTGCTACAGTTGGACCGACCAGTGGATTACAAACCAACGACGTGGCAACATGGTAAATCAGTGTGCATTTACCAATTGCAAAAATAGTAAATGCAGATGGGCACCATAAAGTTTACACCACTTGAGAGTTTTGTTCTTTCAGTAAAAGATCCTGAAAGAACAAAACTCTGGCTTCTAGCTGCTGGATTGGACATGGACACAACAATGGAGACTCTACCTAACCGGCTGATCTGTAGTGATCATTTCAGTCCAGACAATTTCACAAAGTTCAAAATATATAAAGTCTTTTCTGAAAATGACTGCAGTGCCATCTGTCTTTCTAGGTGCACCAACAGCCTCTGATGAAGAACAGGTTTGTACTCGAGCTTGCTCCTTTCATGATGGTAGTCTACTGGTTGAGTGATGATGACTTACGACAGGTAAAACAGGTTCTAGGTGATATCTGTCTGCTGCTGCCAAACTTTCTATCAGGAAGTACAACTCACTGCTGCTGCTCAGACTGAAATCCTTAAAATTCAAGGTTGGTTTTACTTCTAAAATTATTCTATCGACACAGACATTCACATCAACAGTCTGGCGTTATAATTGTTTTGCTTTGGGCGTTTTGTGGAGTGGGTAAGACTGTTTTTAGTGGCAGGGTAATTACGGCCGTAGCCCCAGCGACCTCTGCAAATACAAGGATTGGATGGAATATTTTAAAAAGTGTTCAGACATTTCTAACCCTCTGGCTAACTAGGAAATGAGATCCTGTGTCCAAAATTTCAGACTGTCCTTTTAAGATCGTAAAAATCCGGTACAGAGCTTTTAAATTCTATATGAATTTTAAAATCTTGTGTGTTTTTCAACATTTTGTCTCTGGACTTTCATAGAATTGTTTGGAGACTGGTACAGATTGTTTTGCATAAAAGAGGCCCATTTGTATACACCCACTGTCAAATTTAAAAATAAGTATAATTTACAAAAAATGTCTTAAGCTCAAATTAAATTATTAGAGGCATTTTAACGTGCTACAAATATTGTGTGAATAAAGTAGTTAAAAGAAGACACTGCAAAAAAGGAATACCTGATGTCATTCTGAAATTTGGAATATTCGCATTGTGTATTCACGGATTAGGCCAAGAATACTTAACATATATCTATAGATTTTTCTTTTTTCAAACAAAATTATCTGCCAGAATAGAAATTTAAATTTAAAAAAATCACTCCAGATAAAATAAATAAGTAAAAAAAATACTCGTGTGTGTATTCCTTCTTTCCAGTGTCGCTATGGTAGGCCACAGATGCGGACAGGAAAGTGCTCTTCTTTAGTCTGGTTGCCGTGGCGCCCGCAGAGGCGACGGGAGGAGGAGGTCACTGGGAGTTGTGCATCACCTGCCACACGATCAGGTGACTGCGCTCGGCTTTGGGCTGCAGCTTGACCACTGGCTCCTCCCCCTCGCCGCCGTCGCCCTCCTCGTCGCCTGGAGAAAGAGAGACGGAGAGAGAGAGTGATGTTATCAGTCATGACGGGGTTATTTATGGATGGTTATTTATGGACAGGTGTTATCGACCTGCAATGTCAACACAAAGGACAAACGTGAGTGGAGCAGCTGACAGGCTTAATATAACTGAAGGAGCAGAAGAAGACTAATGTGCACCTACTGTACATATATTTATTGATCATCACTGCTGCTCACAAACTTATATTTCCTGTTACTACTACAGCCTCTAAGTTAAAGAAGCACTATGTAACTTTAGTTTATATCATCTTTGCTCTGTTTTTCCTTACGGACCGTAAATGTGATGTATTGTATTTATATTATTATATTTCTATTTTTTACTTTATTTATACATGTATAATTACATAATTATGCCTTATTTGACACCAATATCTTGCCATTTTTTCTACTTATTTAGAATTTATTATTACTATTTAGAGCTGCTCAATTATGGAAAAAAATCATTATCTCAATTATTTTGATTAATATTGAAATCACGATTATTCAAACACTTTTCAGTATTTCTCTCCCTCTCTCTAAAAAAAAAAACACTTTGTTTTTAATAATTTACGCAAAACTTTCAAACTGAAAATAAAAATAGGCTACAAATATGAACATTAGGGCAGTTTTGTGAGGTATAAAACATAAAATGAATAAAAATATACTTTTGAACATAAATGTATCCAAAACTAAACTATATATCAAGCTGCTCTACACCCTCTATATTTAAAAAATAAAATAAATATACTTATTTATATTATTATGTCCCGCAAAAATCTCAATTGCGATCAAAATTCCATTAATTATTTACACAGCCCCATTTATATTTTGGCTCTTTGTTATTATATTATATTGTGATGTGAGCTACTGTGCCAAAATCATTTCCCTTGTGGATCAATAAAATTTGTCTAAAGGCTGCCACACACTACAGGATTTTTCTGTCTTAAAAGATTTTTAAACGTGCGACAAACCAGACACGAGGAGAATCTGATGAGACTGCAGCAGGATCTGTCTGCAGACCACAGGATATAAAGTGGTGAGCGCGATCGCATCAGCTAATTCCTGTCTCAGTCACTCAAGATCAGAGTTCTGCACGTCTAGTTTAGATACAAGTCAGAACTGTGTTATTATTATTTGTGAAATGTGGTGAAAAAATTCAGATACATGATTTTTAATGCACAGAATGTTGGAGATAAAGTACACAGGAAGTAGAGTCACTATCACTGATCTGCAGCTTCACCTCCGTGTGCTGTGTGACATAAACAGGCACTGTACAACTTTACAAGAGGTAAGTAATAATTATTTTCACTATTTCTTGAGTTTGTATCTTGTGCCTCTGTGTCCATCTCTCCTCTGCTCCTTACGCTTTGTTTTATTAGCTGTTGCCATAGCGCTGTTGATGTTTAGTGGTTATGATTTGACAGAGCAGCAGGGGTGAAGACACAGACACCACACACAAGAAGCGCATCGGAAGACATAGTCGGGTCACGCCTCCCTGAACTCAGTGAGAAGAATCCCAGCCAAAATCAGGCAAATTCTCCTGTAGTCTAGTTGTGTAGAATCCACCATCTGCTTGTCCCCATGAAGATGATACTGCTTTGTCAGAAATGTTTCACAATATTGTGTTAAACAAATTCACTGGCCAAGTTACAGGTCAAATCTGTGGAGAGCGCACACTTCACTGAGCACAATGGGGTCCTGTATCGCGTGGCTCATGGTGTGGCGTTTAGGGTGAACGGCGAGGTTATTGGTGGAAAAAGACCGTGTGATGGTAGTGTTGGACTGTTACTGTGTGTCGATGCTTGTACTGACCCATCCTGAAGTCGATGTAGCCCTCCCCTCCGCTCATCACCAGAGTGGACCTGCCTCCTTCCTGAGCACTGGGGTCCTGGGGCTTGTCTCCTGCCTCCATTCCGCTCCACGATGGGACGGACTGACCTGGATTGACAAGAGAACACTGTGTAATAAAGACACAATGCACAGAGGGAGTGACAAGTAAAACTGTTTTATACTGCACTGCTTTTTCTATCAAAAGTTAATTTGGGTTGTCTTTCATATGTGCACCTCCGGCCTCTATGGGGCACTGTGGTTTAGCTGGTGGGGGTGAAAGCCCCAGGTATAAAAGGGCAGAAAAGTGGCAGCAGGTGTTTGAAGGAGCAAAGACATGTGATTTTTGACTGTGTCTATAATACAGCAGTTGTTCCATATATTAATGTATCAAATGTGAGTCCACGTGACATCCAGGAGCCCTCAAACCCAGAGGACAGACGTCTGGTCCAGGAACTTCCATCCCTGGTCCAGGAACTTCCATCCCTGGAGGACAGCGCTCTGGTCAGGGTGCTCTGTGAAGAGTTGGAGCGAGCAAGGGCCAAACTTGCAGATCAGGGCCAAATAACCAATTCTTTGGACCACAAGCTTAGGTCTCAGGAGAGAATCAATCAAGAAAAAGACTTGAAGTTGAAAAAATTCAATTCACTACAGAAGAAAGCCAAGCAACTACAAGACCAAATTAAAATACATATAAGGAAATCCGGTGCACTGTGGTTTAGCCGGTGAGAGCGAAAGACCCAGGTATAAAAGGGTAGAAAAGTGGCAGCAGGTGTTTCAAGGTGCAAAGACATAAGATTTTTGACCGTCTATTATAATTGTTTCATGTGTTACTGTGTCAAATGTGAGTAAAATAAATGATTTTAAAATAATTTTTTACTTCACTTGACTTGTTTTGGTATTTTTGGAAGACACGTATGCTTATAGACTTCTGTACACCTTCAACCACTGAAGACAAAGGTGCATTGTGTAGCTTTTCTGCATCAAATGCTTTTCTCCATGGAGATGTTATTGATTTGTTAAGAATGTATGGCATTAAATCTGCTCTTTCCATGGAAACCAAACCAGGCAAGGTTCAGGACAGATCTGTGGAGAGGCGACCCCGCTTACAGTCAAAATGTCTGTTTTTCTATGTATTTTTGAGCTGTAAAAGCACCTGCAATTTAATAAATGTTATGTAAAACTGTGTAATGTCATCATGTATCCATGGAAACACGCAGGTGACGGACCCCCAACCAAAAAGTTACACAGAACATGTATTCATTCACAGCAGAATATTTTGTACTGTACTACTCTGTTCAGAGGCCTTTACCTGGGACAGCCGTGAAGAACTTGACGGCATCTCTGTGTCCGTGGAAACAGAGCTGTGCGTGAGCCATGGAGCAGTAGGGCACAAAAGTGCCAGCATGCACCTTGTCTCCACTCTCATCCCCATACACTCGCACCACACTCCCCGGGCCGGAGGAGCCTTTGGACGTCTTGTTGGCTGCTGTAAAAGTAACGGTTATTGGTTATCTTACAATATTTGAATACTTTTTAAACAGTAAATCATAGTACTTTCTTGTCTATTCCCATGTGGTTTTATATGTGTGTAATCCCAGAGTGGTCCAGGTAGTTCCATAGTGGTCCATGGGTGTATACTAGTACTTATACTTATACTTGTATACAGCTCAAGATCATTCTAAAGACATTCAGGAAAGGTTCATTTCTGTCCTGTCAGTGTGATCCTTTTAGAATCAACAGCTGCTGAATTTAGTTTTGATACTAGTTATATTAATTGATAAGTATCAGATTTTTGATACTTACTCTAGCTTAATGTAAACTGTAAATGTCAAAATGACTACAATAGGACCATTACAGTGATATATTCAGTCTAAACATAATAAGGAGGATGCATTATGTTAGGTCTGCACAGTACGTTATAAAATGATTGTTAACCCGTACGTTTATTGCACATTTTTGTTAGGCTTATGTATGGCACAAAAAAGAACAATTATCAGAACATCTTTCAGTATCATGGTTCACAGTAATATTACTGTACTTTAAAGTTTTGTGGTTGTTTCAGAGCCTACTGGCACCAGTAATAATTCGTATAAATGATAGTTCTGTATGAAACAAGGTGTAGTGTCTGAAGTGTTCAGCTCTTACTGTCTGTGAGGGGGATGGAGATGATGACTCCATTGCCCGTGCCGATCCACAGGCGCTGACAGGAGATGGTGAGGGCTGTGATTCTGACGAAGGAGAAGCCTAACTTTCCTGTACCTGCACAACACACACGAGAATGTCACAAAGGGTCCAAGTAAACAGCAGAGTTTAGGATTATGATTTTGGACACCAAAAACACTTTACAGCAGGGCTCTTAGTAATTGTAATTTCAATTATAATTTATATGTCTAAGTTGTCTTATTGTTCACTATCACTGTTCTGAATTTCATTTGCCTACACCAAACTTTGCTTGTCCTCACTCCCATAGGGATACACTTCTAGGCAGCTCTGTTGAATCGGGTCACTTTGGACATTGTTGCGATGCCTGTTTTATCTAATTTTTCATCAGACCGGACAATCCCATACTCAGTCTGGGTACTTTTCGTCAAGTTTGCGAGGAAAAATAATAATAAAGAAGAAGAAACAGGTGAAGAACAGTAGCCCTCCCCAGTTACTCTGTTACTGGCTCGGGCCAATGATTATTTGCTCAGATCAGGAGCGTCCCTAAACTGTGACAAATGATCATGGGCAGGAGTTTTTAATGCAAAAGTAAGTAATTCTACTAAGATAACTTCAAACACATGACTCTGCATTCTGAATGATCCACATTATTAACCAGTCCTTGGCCCTCCTCTGAATATGCTTCAGAATGCGGCCCTTGGTGAAAAAAGTTTGGACCCCCTGGCTTAGAGAGACGGAGGAGTCCATACTCTGTAGTGTGACAGGAACAAGACTAGCAATCTTGCCCTCCTATCACCACAAATCACATTGACCTTCTGTCTACAAGAAATTCCTCTTAAAGCCTACTCCAAAGAATAGTTTATTCTTGGTCATTCTTTTCTGTCCTTAGTGTATATCTGTATGAAAACCGGAGAGGAACAGACAGTTGGACTAGTGTGAGTGTGTGGAGAGTTTGTACACACACCTAACATCTTGCTGACATAGGGTTCGATGTCCACGTCCTGCAGGTGCTGGTGTGTGTGTGCGTGGAAAAGACGCAGTGTGGAGTCCAGGCGGATGGACACCCAGATGCCGTCCCCCTCCCAGGCCATGAGACGCACCTGACTGTCCTTACGAGGGTGGGCGTCAAAGCACTTCTGAGGAGATACCACAGGGACACTCAGGAGGGACACTGCACACTTGCATTACACTGCATTACTGGTTTCTTTGCATGAATAAACTCAGCCAAGGTGCGCCCCCTGTTGAAAGTAGTACCTCGATGTTCATGGCTCTGGGGTGCACCACGTAGATCTTGTTCCTGGAGCCACACCACACCTTGTCGTGGACCACGCTCATGCAGCGGATGGAGTGATGAGGCCGGCCCAGGGTTATCAGGTGGTAGTTGGTCACGTCCCACTGCCCGTCTGAAAATATGGAGAAATGGGTTTAAAATATTGAATTTGTGTTATATTATTTCAGTAGGTTGACCTCATGTCACATCGCAGCATTGTAGAATCTTGATAGTTTAAACTGAGCTGGAAGACAAGTCAGAATTTTATGGTGGGCTTTGCTGTTTAACTGTCAGATTGCAGAATTGCTGACCTTATTTATGGTTCATATCTCTAATTACTGGGCTTATCCACATGAAACAAAAACTGGCACAAAGCTCAAGTTATATTATTTTTATACAGTACTGGTCAAAAGTTTTAGAACGCCCTACTTTTTCCAGTTATTTATTGCAGTTCAAGTCGTGCAAGTCCAATGAAAAGCTTGAAATGGTACAAAGGTAAGTTCTGAACAGCCAGAGGTTAAAAAAGATACAAAACACAAATCCGAGCTCTGTCAAAACTACCTCAGGAAAAAAGAACAAGATGGTAAAGCTTGAAAACATGGAGTGTCCAAAACAGTGTCCAGATTTAAACCCCGTAGAGCTGGGTTGGGATGAACTGGACAGAAGAGTGAAGCAACCTACAAGTGCCACACATTTATGGAAACTTCTGCAACAGACTTGGGAAGAACTTTCTGAACAATATTTCTATTGTAGAAAGAATGCCATGAGTGTGTTCAGCTATATATCTGCCAAAGGTGGACACTTGGATGAATTAAGATTTTAAAATATGTTTTGGTCTATAAATTGATTCCATGATTTATTTGTCAACTCAAATTGCTATTCTATGTTTTTATTTCAGAGTGCAATGACACAATAAATGATAAAAATCTGGAAAAAGAGTGGTGTTCTAAAACTTTTGACCAGTAGTGTATATTTTAAGAACCCCAAAGACTTAAAGCCATGAGATGAATATGACAAGGTTGTGGAGCCAATCACAAACAAATAATAAGATTCAACATTTGTGAATCTTTTATATAAACCCTGCCATTAACCTGCTATTAGAAAATCATATCATCATCTCTGTGCAGAAAACCTATTGAAGTGTGTAAACTGATTTACCGTGTTGTATGTAACTCACCGGCCCCTCTGTGGAAAATGGCGATAGTTCCGTCTGACAGCCCCACCAGCACCCGGCCCTTCACATGACTGCAGGCACAGGGCACAAGGATCAACAGAAAGTTCAGCAACAGGATACATGAGAATTTAATCAGGAGAGGATCAGATAGTGTGAGGATTTTTGCTTAAAGAGAGGGAATTATGCTATATGATGCTTTTTGCAGATTTCTAACATGCTATAATCATCAAAAACATGCCTGAAGAACTTGTATATACCATCCATGCATGTTTGAGTCATCTAGCGATTGCTTCCGGCCTTGTTCAAACCCTCTTTATTGTTAGCTGTACAATCCTGTTCAAGACTCATCCCACACCCCCTGCGTCACCCATGCTCCTGCACAACTATTTCCCCTAAATACACAAAAGCATGATACAAAACAATACACTACAACTTCACAAGCCTGATGCAATGTGATCACGCTCTGAAGGGGGAGTGACTCAGCACGGGGAGAAAAGGGAGGGAGGACTCAGAGTGTGAAAAATGAAAATGAAATGTGAAATGGTAACACTGCGATCTAAATAATAACACTTTGATTAGAGCTTGATCAGACCGGGGCGTCAAGGCGTCCAGTTTACATGCAAAGTCTATCGGCATCAAAAGTTGAAAATACTGAACTTTTGGCATCGAACATGCTACACTGATGTAGAGACGTTATTACCCGGAAGAAGGAGAAGAAAGAGAAAGACCTGAGAGCCACAAACACCAGAACAAGAAATCTATGCCGTGTCATTAGCAGAGTATAAATACATAAATGCCGCAACCGCCGAGCCAGTCACCTCCACTGATGTGTTTTATGTAATAAATACACTAAAGTCACTCTCGACCGACAAAACAAGGCACTCACAAACCACAGCAGACGTGCGTCAAGTATTTTTCTCCCGTTCATCCAAGACAAGCGTCGGGAGCGTTCAACTAGAGGCATCCAGCATGTGTTTTGATGCCACGGTCTGAACACAGCTTAATACCCCACAAGAGTGGAATACCCCCTCTTTAAAAGGAGAGAATGTGGAAGGGAGTGGAAAGCAAGTCAGACTGAAACAAGGAAAACAGCCTTCCTGGTTGAATGTATGTGTTCTGTCATACTCACACTATGCCCAACACAGAGTCCTTGAGTTTCACAGAATGGAGACACCTTTTCCGCTGAGCCACGGAAGAATGGATGTATATACTAGAACATAATGAAAAAGAATGAACAATGAAAGTTCTAAGTACCATTAGTCATTTTTACTTTCGGCAGCAGAAAGCAGTTACCATCCGTTCTGCGCCCCGAGCCACATGGTTGGCTGCACGCTGCTCATCCTCTGAGCCTCCTCTCTGCTCAGGTCTTGCTCCTCCTCTGCACCCTGCTCCCCACTGTCCTTCACATCACTGGTCCTGTCATGTACAAGGGGAAATCAGGAAAAACACACATTTGTGTAAAATGTTACACAAACACATGTAAATGAAACAAAATTAAACTCCCTGTATGTTTTTGAGGAGGTATCAACGTTCTGACATGGTTTTTAAAATCCACGGGTACTGATAAATGTTTTATGACTCTGCACTTTGATTTGCCAATACAGAGGAAAATATCTGACTTCAAGCAGGACTGATTACCATGTGACCTACCCAAATCCTCCAGGGTTGCTTAGAGCTAACTTTGAACATAACATATTTTTACTTTGTTTTTATTTTGTTCCATTGTTATGCACAAATATGTTGGTGACTCATGAGTATACCCATGTATGGTCTCTGCTCCCAGCGGGTCAGTGAAGATGTGCTCCGTGTACACTCCTCTCAGACTGCCTCTCCTGTCTGCATCTGTGGGGCTCCCCTCCACGGCTTCTGTCGCCTCCTCTTGTCTGGAGTCTGAACAAAAACATCACTTTACATCCTGTGCAGATAGTCGAAATGGGCTGCCCCCTCGTAATGAGCTACCAGCAGTCTAACTCAACAGTGACATCTATCGATTCAACAAAAAAAACTACCTTACGTTTTTCCTTTTATAGTTGTATAGATCCAATAAAGCCTAACCCTTACCTCCCCAGTTTTACAACATATTTCTTTGGATTAGAGACAACAGGTTTTATACTTTTTCACATTGATTATTAGTGATTATACTTTATACCTTAGTTATGTCAAATTTCAACTAATTTATATGAATCTCCGTAGTTCATTTGGACAATCATATTCTGCTCAAATAGGGCTCCGACTAAAGAGAGCACATATCCACAGGCCAATTTAGCAATCAATAAATGCTCCCACTGTAAAATCACCATTATTTACTCATTTATATACATATCTATAGATGTAGCTCATTTCCACAGGCCTATATCTTCAATCAAATACCCAGAAATATTGAAAGAGCTTCTTGACCATTGGTTTCTCTGGATTCTAAACAATCAGTATCAGCATCAACCATGAAAAAAACATATCGTTCGATCTCCTCTTTTGTGTAATAATAGGACATGCACCAGAACGGGCCTCACCTCCGTTGGTCTTCACTGGACTCTGTGGTGCGGCAGAGCCCTCGGCCGTACAGCCCACCACGGTGATGCCCCCCAGCAGGCCCTCCTCTCCTGGAGTGGGGCTGGTGCAGGAGGAGGGGTCCTTGGAGGGTCCCGAATTCACACACACCTCCTCTCCTGCGGGGTAGTCCGTCTCTCTGGCTCCTACACAGTGAGTGCATTTTAGCAAGTATTGGCATGTGTGAAACAGTGAGGAGGACAGATCTCTGAAGCTTAGCACAGACCAATCGACACTTGGCATCTAAAACAGCATTCATTTTATTACAGAAGAGCTGCTCTACTTTCCAACATTCAACAAATTCAAAAAGTAAATGTGGACTTATGGTATACCAAATACAAAGACATGAAGGAAGAGAAGAAACACAGAAACTACACTACACTACACCTTAATAGAGGGAGGAAGTTGTGTTTCCCTTTAATTCTAATTCCAGTTGTGTTTTCCTTCACCATGACTCGCTGTTCCTCTGATACAACCAACAAACCAATCAGAGCGCTCCATTGACAAAGACATCCACTGCCTGTTAAAGAACTGTGGTGCAGTCCAGATCAAACACATGGCAGAAGAGACGAGCTTTCTGCTGGCTTCATACAGCCAACGGGTGGATTGGTGTGCAATGAGTTTACCCTGTAGAGAAGACAGACCTGGCACACTGGCGATGCAGAGCACATGGGAGCTGCACACGGTGAAGCTCTCCAGAATGTTGCCGGGCTGGTTGGCGTCGATGACCACAGCTTTGGTGGAGGCCTGAGTGCTGGTGCAGATCCACACCAGAGATGACAGCTCCTCCTGCTGCCTCAGCTCCTTCTGCTGATCCTGCAAGCACACATACACACACAAATGCACAGACACACACAAGAGCATGAGGAAAGTTAGAAGATAATTCATTTCATTTTTCATTTTAATATTAATTTTATATTTTCAATTTATTTATTTTGTGCAGGTCTTTGAACAGTGAATATAAATGAATATACTGTACATGTGCCCAGTACACTAAAGGAACTGTATGCAAGACTGATTTTTAATTCCATAAACTTTGCCATTCACTAGATACAAGGTAGATATGTACAAATCAAATATAGCTTTTACTAATGACAGTTATAATGCTGTATTATTCTTAATTACAAAAACAATGGACATCATGGCCAAATTGTTTGATTGCTTGCTGTTTTCTCAACAAGATTATCCAGTCTGAATGAGTCTTTCATTTGGGTTGCCGGTTTCAGTGCTGAAATCTAGTTGACTGAAACCTCAAATTTTTCTCTCTGATCTGAATGGTCTCTACCTAAACCCCAGCACCTGCAGCCAATCAGGAGTCAGTGCTAGTGCAGCCTCTGCAGCTCAGGGAAGGAATTCTGGAGGTTCTGAGATTTCACATTAGGCCTGGTCTGTCCAGATAATGAGAATGAGAAAAACTTGGATGTGTCTCTATCTGCAGGTTTAAGCACTGGCAACACAGGTTCAGATGTGATTGTAATGCCTTTTTGAAAATTGAAAGAGCGCAGGATACATACAGTTCCTTTAATGTTTCTTTATTATTTTTCTTATTTAAGCTTGAAAAGGAGAGGAATAAGAAGAAAGGTTACTAAATCCTACCCTCATCTTCTAATACATAACTTCAGTATTTGTTTAGCTCCTTTAATCACTTGAACAGAAAAAACTATAACAAATGTATTCTATTCATGACCATCTTGGGACAATGTGGGCCTGGTACCTTGAGCTCCTGGTCAAGCTGGTCCAGGCTGCTGTTTGTCTTGTTCCGGGGGCTGTCAGGAGTAGGAGCGTCGCTGTAGAACACACTGGCTCCTACTATAGAGCCCCCGTCTCTGGTCCTGCCTCCAGACAGGTTCACTCCAGCAGCACACCACAGCTGCACACATACACACACAAACAAACACATACACAGCAGAGGAAGAAGGGAAACAGGAGGAGAAATGTGAATGTTAGTTAAAACAGATATGTTTATCTGTTATTGACCCATGAGTTTCATTGGCTTTATTCCCATGTACATCAAAATCTGATTATCTGATTTCTGGACACTTAAAATTATTCAAATGACATGCACACTGCAAAATCTGATGTGAGTAATCAGAAGGACCGTGAAATCATTAAATTGAGTGACCGGCTCTGGAAATCCGTGGAACAGGTCTTGTTAATGAGACTTTTGTTACAATTATTAGTTTGAACTTTTTTTTTACTTTGAACTATTTATGATCTGATTTTTACTGTGTTATATTTTGATTTTATGTGTGTGACCACCCATACATTTCACTAACAGTATGCTAATGGAGAACATTATGAAGCCCTGTGTGGTGACTGCTATTGTGATTTTAGACTAGAAGTGAAATATGAGAATGAGCCAAACCTTCATAGAAGCATCTTTCTCATCCAGAGGTCTGAGGAACACAGGCACAGGCAGGTTCTTCATCTTCCCCTCAGCCTGTCCTCCATTGGCCTGCAGGTGCACACACTCTCACAGTTAGAACTCAGGTTTGAATGTACACATGTATCAGATCATACAGAATGTGGAGCGGACCTTGTACTTCTTGGGCAGACTCCAGCCATAGGCCTGGACCCTTCCATCCTCTTTCTGAACGTGAGCTTTGACCTGCTGGTACTGCGCCCTCTTCTGCTCACGGCGGGACACGCTCTCAGCAGGAGCTCTGAGGAACATAAGGTAGATGATATAATGTGGACTTCTCAATCACCTATCATCATAGATTTTAAAAGTATATTTCAATACAAGAAAAAAACCTCAATATCACAATTATAATACAAACACCTTGACATGTTTCGGCTGAACTCTGTTCCTTCCTCAGAAGTGTCACGTGATGTTGCTGTAACGTGTCAGCTCATGTAAACAGATTTTGTTGTTTGATAGTATCAAACATAAAAAATCAGGAAAACCATCTCATGAACTGGGACAATGTTAAGGTCATAGGCACAAAGAGTAATCAGCACCATCCTTGGATCAGACAGGCCACTGAGATCTGAAAATGTGCCCACGTGACTGTAAATTGGGATGAGAGGGTGTATAGACTTCCTCACACCTGGGATAAATTCTAAAGAAGTTGGACTGCAGACAGTGCTGTCGTCCTACTGTACCAAGTAGAATAACAGCCAAAATCTGTTTAAATCAGCTGAGCAGACATGTCACAGAGCCATCAATCAATCAATCAAACTTTATTTAAAGAGCACTTTTCATACAAAAATGCAACACAAAGCACCATGATGTCATGTGGGGTCCGTACATAAGAATCTAAAGTATATTTGGTGATAGATTAGACCTACAACAGTCCTGTTATAGATCTGGTTTAGCCCCAGATTAGACTTGGAATAGTCCTGTTTAGACCTGGTTTGGATCTGGTTGTACTCAGAAAGCCAAATCTTTCCTTTTTGTGGTACTTGGTGTGAAAGGTCTGAGTGCAACTGATCTAAAGAGTTTGAAAAGTAAGTTGCGTGCTCACTCTTCATTGAGAAAATCGAAGGCCTTGCTCTTGTCACTGGGCAGCTGCTGGAGGGTGCTGCTCTTCTTCTTCACCGAGGGCTGGACCTGGGAGGTGGGGGCGTTGTATTTGACGTTGACCGGGGACTCCGCTGAGGGCTTCTTGGCTCCTCCTCCGGACGAGCTGAACAAACGGCTGAAACTGCAGGAGTAAGGGCGGGCGAAGGGGAGAGGGAGAGGGGGAGAGAGAAAGAGAGAGCAGACATACAAGTAGAGGAGTGACACAAGCACAGCTAAAGCAAAGAAACGGGGTTCAACACACAGATTGGCCCTTAACCAAGCCCCACACACCAAGCTGTTATATACATATATAAGTTATATAAGGTACCCTTGACTAATAGAGAATTTTGAAGTATATCTGTGCAGGTTTGTGTGGTAGTATTGGAAACTTTCTGACCCAGAAATCAACTAACTCTCATGGAGTTTTTGGATTCTGACCCCACCCCTAAATCAAATTCTAATACAATAAACAGTATTAGGGGTAGGCTAATTAAAAATGATGATACCAAATTTGGTGATACAGGTTTTTTTGTTTGTTTCTATGTCAACCCTATGATTATGTGCTCCAATATTTGAGGCATGTGTACTTTTATCCAAAATACTCCTCATAATGTGTGAGGTGTTTTTTAGAAGCATGTAATCGTATTAGTGAAGGGTACATGTCTGTCTGTATCCTGCCACCCCCTCAATATTCATAGATCAACTGATGAACGCGGAGAGCAGGAAGTGTTAATGTTAGGCTCAGGGCGTTAGTGAACACACAACAACACAGGCCTGTACGAGAGAGGACATCCCCAAATCATATCTGACTAACCCTCGAAATTATTGTAGGTGAATTCCTACTCAGTCAATACAACATTTACTCAATTCCACTTTTGTGTTTGCATCCAAGAACAGTTAAGCTAAGAAACAGCTAAGAAAATGCAAAAACAGCTAAGAAAATGCATCATAAATTCCCTATGTATAAAGATTTCCTACCGATTTTGTCCTAATTTGCCTGGTTTTATCCCTTTGTTTGTCATGTTTTGCATTTTAAAAAGTAAAAGAAAGGAAATCTAAAATTATAATGCTTGTAAAATCCCTCCCAGGTAGGATCCATAGTAAGGAAGAAATTCAATTCTGTCAACTTAACAAGAGTTTATTTAGATCTTCAGTTCTGGTCAGATGCTGGTGAACACTGCCTTATATATTGTCTGAAGGGAGGAGCTAAATACACTGAAACTACTGTGGTCTATTAGGAGTACTAAACTGCACTAAGTGGGGATTGTGCCTGAGTCATATTAGCAGAATCATTCAGGCCTCTGATTGGTGCTTTCACACCTCTGAGCTTCAACAGGCTATCACTATTGTTTTCTTTGTTTTGTTTTAGGTTTTAGGATGGAGTTGTAAATCGGAGATAGATGATGTCTGAGGTCTCCATTTATGTTCAAGGATGGATTGTCTTTCTTCACAAAAAAAAAGCCTCTTTAACTCTCCTCTCAAACCAATTATTTTCTCTGGCTCAGATCTGTACCTCAGTATCCTCAAAGGAGTGGCCCGTGGCTTTTAGGTGGAGATATACAGCAGACCGAGGTCCACTATTCCTCTCTCATCTGTGTTGGTACATCCTCTTATGAAGTGGCTGTTTTGTGTCTCCAGTGTAGTGCTCACTGCAGTCTTCACCACACTGAATGGAGTACACACCATTGCTTTGTTTGTGGCTCGGTGTTTTGTCCTTTGGATGGATCAGTTTCTGTCTTAACGTGTTTTTAGATTTGAAATAGACTGGGATTTCATGTTGTTCTTTTTCAAACCTACAAACAAGTTACGATACTGAAGAAGCAGCTTGAATGAGCAGTGAAACATATTCAACCAAGACTTTTGTATAGTTGACAGAATTGAATTTCTTCCTTGCCTAAAATTATAATATTATTCATGTTGTCACAACACTAAAATTTCAAACTTTCGATGCTAAAGACTCTAGACTACACTCTATAAGGATTTCTATACCAAATCGGTCATTTGAAAAGCTCTTTCCTATTGGAACATTCTACACAAAAAAATGTATTTGTTAATTATTATCATCCTAATTCTGATAAAACTGTTCTGGAAAGGACAAATTGTATGTGATTGCTTTTATCAGTATCGATATTTGCTTAAACTAGTTTTAGTATCAATTAGTATCTGATTTGATACTTCTGACAAAACTAATTATTATACTATTATATAGAACATAATCATTACACTGATAGCCTGAAACAAATGTCTAAACGTAGCACTGAATTTTCAACACTATGATAAAGAGATTTTCCTAAGCCCCTCCTCCCAGAATCATAGCAACCCTCCCAACACACCTCCTACGAACGGACATCACAAAAATGAGCAGAAAGAAGTTAAAGGGACACACAAACAAAGCAGAAGACACCATTAGTTTATCAACTTCTGCTCAACCTGATCCCTGTAATCAACAAACATTCCAGTCCAAACGCATTCCAATAAGTGCGCCCAAACCAGTCAGAATAATGTGACAGAGCTTTACCTACATCCTGTGAACAACCATGTGACATAGCACCAAAAAGAAACGCAAAACAAAATAGTGGATTTAATGTTGTATTACTTTTAATTTATCTTACTTATTTTAAGATTATTAAGATTCTATTGAAAAGCAGGGCAGAGAAATTACTTACAATTGCCACAGGCTGGATTTCTTCTTCTCTGGTAGACTGGGGTTCTCCTTGGAGGCTCTGAGGAAAAAGATATGTTCATTATGTTTATATTCTGTGGATCAATACAGGACTTAGGTGTTTTATAGCTCTTCTTTTTCTATCTATCCTGGCCTAAGACCTTGAGACTCCACATATCTGATTGTATGTCCCCGTGATGCCCTTTATGCTGCTGCTCAGACTGTTTTGTTTATCATAAAAGGTATAGATATACGCACGTCACTGGTGCAAGGCTAATACAGTGATCAGTCATCAGGCAAGTACAGCAAAGTGTTGTGTTTAATTTCACATTCTTGATTCAGGCCACTAGGGGCCAGCGTTTTTAAGGAATAAATATAAAAACTTTGACTTTGTAAGAGTAGCCTGTTAATATCCCCTCCTCTTCTTGGGAGCTTACCTGCTCTATTCCAATATATTGAAGGGAGGAGATAGGGTGCTTCTTTAAAATGGGCAGCTACAGGATTTCTTCTCATTATATATTGTGTTGTGTGGACATGGCTCATGTTTGGACTGGCCCGTCAGTGGGCAGAATGTTTATATGGGAGTGGCACACTGAGAAAACCATGACATGATGAATATCCCCTGATCCAAACATTATCATTCCTTAAATGCAGTTTGGGCTCAATACTATAAAGGTATTGAGCTGAGTGTTGATTCCTTGTGTTGTGTCTGAAAATGTGTCAAAGGCAAGAGTTGGAAGTGAGTTAGATACATTTAAGTCAATCACAGATTGTAAATCAGGTATCCTAGTTTTAGCACACCCTGCCTTCTATAACTGCTTACCCTATTCCATTTGTCCATAAGTGTAAATGTTTGTGAGTGTGCAGTAAAATACCGGATCATCTCAGTCCAGCGCACTGCCTCCTGCAGCTCCATCAGTCTCTCCTTGTACTGGTTCCTCTCCATCAGCACACGAGCCATCTCCACCCGAGTGAAGCGCTTCCTCTGGGCTGTGGGCACGTCGCTCTGCACAAACACACACATACAACACTTCAGTTCAAATTCAATTCATGTACTTTTTCTATAGAATTCATCTTAGTTAGATGTAGACCAGAGCCGGATAAAGTGCTAATCTTTTTAGGCTCATAAAGGGGGAACAGGAGGAGAATTACTACGACAGATTTTTCTTTTATGTATGTTGCATATTAGGGATAATGCTATTCATACTATATATTGTACTGCATTCTTTAGATTGTATATTGTATAGGAAAGGACAATAACTTGTTGTTTTCATAAAATTTCTATAAAAGTTGTTCAAACACCTATGAAATTATTAATGTCTTTTTACCTTTAAGTACATGATACACATAGTCGGTTACATTCAGCAATTTTAATAATTACCATGGTAATAATATGTTGGAAATTGCTCATGTCTCAAGTCTCATGTCTAATAATGTATGGCAATACCCTGTCAGCAGACTCACCAGGCCTGTAGTCGACTACAGAAATTCTTGGTCGACCACGATCAACGAGTCGACTAAAAAGGACGTGTGGGAAAAGCTCTCAGAACTATGACGTATCACTGTGTATCTGACCCAAACTACACTCACATATAACACATGTAACATAAATCCTTATAATTTAAATCAAATAAGTCGACTAAGACAGCATCAACAGATTAATCGACAACAGGACAAAAGACCAACAGCCCCCATACTCACATCATCTTCATTGTCGTTCTTCACCTTGCGTTTGGTCTCCTCTAGCTCAGTCCGAAGCCTGTGTATGAAAATAACCAAGCTTTAAAGGCACACCTGAATGCACCATGAGTCTTTATACAGTGAGACAGAGGAGAGCAGGCCTCACTTTTTCAGCTCCTCCTCTAGCTCCTTATTCCTCTGTTCCAGTTTGCTCTTGGCCTGGGCCACAGCCAACAGCTCTCCCTGCAGGACCTCCTTCTCACAAGCCAGATCATCCAGCTGGGCTATCAGGTCATTCTTCACCACGTTCAAGGCATTTCTAAAAAGTAAAAAAAAAAAAAAAACACATATTAAATTAGACACAATATGGAAGCATTACATCAAACACCATTATTGCTTTTGTCTCATTTTAGACATGGTTTAGACTGATTTTAAATCACCTTTAGTCTGTAGACTGTAATAGACAAAGCTAAAATAGCAGCCAAGTGAGCATTAGAGTGAAGTGGCTCCAATTCACTTTCTGTTGAAAAACCCTGGCCCCTCTCTCTCTACAATTCGCCACTATGGTCTTAAATGTTCAAATTAAACCAACCTACATGATCCTGATGTTTTTATTTCACTATGTTGTCCCTAAATCAAAATCTGAACATTTATAACAAGCCAATCAGGTGCTGGTGGGAAGGGGCGAATACCTTCAACAACTGCTAGCCCTGATGCAAGTCACTTGGTTGCAACCAAAGGCTATGGGTGATGTCACACTCCCTCAGCCAACTTCTGCCCACAGTCTGTGGTTTAGTATATAATAAAATAAGGTTTAGATTTGGTGGTCCTCAAAATACCAAATATTATCCTTGGTGTTACTTGGGGAGAATTTCTTTCCAAATTATTGACAAATGCCACTAAAATATCAAAACACAGTAATTAACACTGTCATATGTTAAAATGCCAAAGCTTCACCCAGTTATCTATGTTTCAAATTGTACTCACTTGGTCTCGAGCAGCTGGGCATTTTCTTGGATGAGATGCTCCACTTCTCTTCCCATACCTTAAATATTCAAGTGACAAAATAAGTGCATACAAAATATATGGGCAGTATTTTGTAATATTACAAGCTTTAACTAATCTTTTGCAATCCTTCACTACATTTCTTACCAAAAAAGTTGTAGTCTGCCAGCAGAAGAGAACGTAAATCACAAATCTTTATTTTATCAGAATGTCAAGAGCCCTCCACTGATACTGGCACTGATATAATCTATGGTAATGTGGTAAAACATGTATTCTTACTGTGAGTATCTGACCTGACCTGACAGAATAACATTTTCTTTTATGTTGGAGACATACATGTTTATTGTCGTATGGCAGAACATCTAAGATGTGGCATTAAAATCTCCATGGAGACAAGTGAATGAACAGAAAAGTTACTTAGTATATTTTTTAATATACCATTAATTAATTTTTGTCCCAGCTGCCATTCCGAATACAGGGCAGTGCCGTGATTGATACTTTGCTGCTCATGTCATCAAAATTCCCTAGGAGTGTGATGTTAACTATAGGCACTACTCTGTCTGAGACTTCGTTAGACTAATCTGAACTAACCAGAAAAAAATTACTTGGTTGGAGCTGTTTTTGGTGAGCTGATTTTTATTGTTAAACAAGTCCCTCTCAAATAAAATGACAGTTAGTGGTTTTTCAGTTAGTCACTGTCACCTTTTTGTTGAAAATCACAACAGGACCATGAACTCTTGTTATTGATCACTCCTGAAAATGTGCTGTTTTTTGTATTCAGACTATCTAAAACATCAGTCAGTCTTTGCTAATGTGTGTAATGCATTGTGAATCCATGGTGATGAACATGCCACCATAAACATACATGCAGAACACTCCTAGCGTGATTTCACCACAACGTATCACTTAAATATGTTCACCATCTAGTCTACCTATACACAATACTAATGCTACTACCCACCAGAAAACTCGTCTGCGTGGAGGTGAGCAGAGACAAAATCAGAAAACGTTTGTCGGGATAGTGTTTTTCCAGTCTTTTAAATTGTACCTCTTAGGTCCGTCTTACCCAGCAGGTCGGCTCCCTCATCCACGTCTCCCACCAGGTCGTTCCCAGCAGAGGACAGCTCCTCAAACAGAGAGTCTGTGTTACGGTCAAACGCCAGGTTCTCTACACCCCCTTTAGCTGGCGTACTGTGAGGAGAAAGACAAACGTTTATTATAAGGGGATATGACTAATAATTCTGACTTGGTTTGCCAAGATACTGTGATATCTTAATAAATAATACCTCAATATTTATCAAAGTTTCACACCAGTTAAATGGCAGTTTGTACAAAAACGTTGTGTAGAAAAATACAAATATACAGGTAGTAGTGACCTATGTCATTTAAAAATTCATCTAAAATACAGAGACAATTTATACCCAAGGAAGGCAATAATCAATAAACAAAAAAAGGTTGGGTCACTTATTTTTAATAGTCTACTCATAAGTATTGTTTGATGCAGTAAGGTTTTTGCCTTCGTTTACATTATGGTTGCTAGGTAACAGTTATTGCTTTGCCTGGAATGGTGTACAGTATGCCATTAAATTGATCTTTTCTCACAGTGAGTGGGTCAGCTCTCCGCAGTTCTGACTAGTAACCTGGTAGTGTCACCTGCATCACCTGCTTGTCCATGGAGATAGCCAAGATTAATGCCATCTTTTGTAACATTCTAGAAAAAACAATTACCATGGAGACAAGCAATGCAAAATATGACATAGTGCACCTCTAAATTTTGAATATTTATTGCCAAAAGTATATTTTTTTTGAAACAGGATTCTACTCAGAAAATTCTTGAAAAGTAATATTATTCTGATAAAAAACAGGTGAACAGTACCTTGTGGCTTTCAGGCCTTCCAGCTCCATGTCCAGCTCAGGAGTGGACTCAATGATGGCCTGCACTGCGGACTTCTCCAGCTCGTCTGCTCCATCTGAGAAGACAGAGAAAAGAGTAACACAAAGATTGAGATTTATTAGGAATTATAGGCCACATTGATTGTACTCAATCAACAAAAGTGCCTCAAGTTTTTTGGGCTGCATGGAGAAAATCTTAAATTATTGCTAGTTGTGGAGCTAGTCTTCTTAACTTTCTATTTTATACCCCATTTTGTCCATACCAATTAGCCATTTTGGAGGTTTGGTTTATCCATTGGTATCAGAATAATGAAAAATGTTTTATATAAACAGGAAGATGAAACCCATTAATACCTTAATATTATTATTATATATATATTATTATAATATAACAGAATCCTTTTTGGTAATATATTACACACTTACTAGTTTACTCTTGTGAGCTTTAAAGGTGCACTGCGCTACTTTTCTGGTGGAGGGGGTACTTACATGTTATTGCTTTGTCTGGAATGTTCCATGTATTATTAATTGATATAGAGAGATAGATATTAAACATATCTATGTAGCATTTATTCATTATGGGTGTTTCTGTTGCTCAAAAATACAATAATTTCTTCTGTGAATAGAAGCGATTCTCCACAGATCTGAACTGTAATATAGCATAATGCTGTACCCTGCGTGACTCCCTCGTGATAGAGAGGTTTAATCTGTACTGTGGAATATTCTAGACAAAGCAAAAACATTTCCATGGAGACAAACGGGTGAATGACCCTCCACTAGAAATGTATATATATAATGTTGTTACCTCCTGAAAAACAAACCTGGAGTTGTGTTTTGTTTAATTCACACATGTTTGAATAATCCTTTATTATTAGTCTGTCTACATCTCCAAAACTCAAAATACTCTGTTCCAGCTTGTGATGTCATGAAGTGGTAGTTTTCAAGTTAAGAGCTCCTTTTACCTTTCAGTAGAGCATGCCTGAAATTATCCAAATGAGTGTTTTCTGTTTGACTCAGCCTAAATATGCAGGGCTTGTGTGTTAAACATGTGTGACTAAAACAAAATACAACTCCAGGTCTTTGTGTGATGAGGAACCTATATTAGAAAAACAGAATTTGAGCTTTTGAGCTTTAAAACATAAATCACAAATTTAATCATATTCGCAATCCTTAATGGAAAAAAAAGGTAGACTCTGCTAATTGTGCCCATTCAAATTTTAATTCGATTGTGATTAATCTTCCACCCCTAACTGTTCTTGTAACTGTAACTACAACATCAATAGAAACAGCAAACCCACAAGTTACCTTCATCATTAAGCGAAGAACCCTGAGTTCTCTGGACACCGGTGAGATCTTTATTGCTGTCTGGTTTGCCGATCTTGCCGTCCAAGTTTCTGTGGAGTCCGTCTGAGGATCCTCTCTCCTGACTGGGTGTTGCCGCTGTCTCCATGGTGACGTCTGAAGGTGCTGTTGAGGAGGCCGGTGTGGTCGCCCCTCCCCTCAGACTGGACGCTGGGCCCTGAGAGGAGCTGTTGGACTTGGGGAATGTGGATTTGGATGGAGAGCCGGACTTAGAGCTATGGCTTGCACTGGACATCTCATCCTGTACAGAAGAGAACCAAAAGCATAGGTTTTAAATTTGGAAGGATTTTAAAATTTTATTATTGATTTTTTATTTTTTTTTGGAGTGGAACTTCAGTGAAAGTTAGTAGAACCAAACCACATGCTCAAAAACAAAGACCAGTAAACCAGGTCAATTTAAACAGAACATTTTTGAGAATTACTGGAATAATTAATCACACATACATATTTGTGATTTTAAAGTGCACATGACAGGTTACACTACTCATTTCTCAAAAACATAGTCAACATCATAATAGAAAAGGTAAAAGATCTTGTTCCACAAGATCTCACAAGACAAAATTGCCACAAGATTGTGAACACATTTTTTTCCATGTGTTTACGTTTGGATTGGACAAAAAAGGGTTACGTGTTGGTGAGTTACATTTGCCTGGAAATCCAGAAGGATATCTCTCTGTATTTGTTTTACAGATCCATATCCGTTTGGTCCCCATGTCCTCCAACCCATCAGAACAGCATCAGAACAGCCTGGTACAGCAATGAGTCTACCTTTTTCCAGGCAAAAGTTACAATTTTTTACAGTTTCCAAAAAGTAGTGCTAGAACAGAAACAAAACTATGAAATCAAATTATGAGGCCAAAATTGGAAATTTATATATTTAAATGTTAAAATCTCATCTTGTCCCCTTCTCGTGGACCCAGTCTAGTATCTCGTCTCATCTTGAGAAAATTTTGTCTCGTCTCATCCCTAATCATTAGTTATATTTAGGATTTTACTGAAAAAATATTTTTTCTAGTGATTTTGGTAAAGGTTTTACTTCCTTGTTGGACACAGGGAACAAATGTGACATATATGGAGGTATGTTACCTAGCAACCATAACCTAAAAGGGGCCAAAACATGTCTAAATTAGATAAAAGTTATGATTTGACAAATAAAAATAAAGTACAATGAAATGTATTTTCATTTCATTTATTAAAGCTGTCAGAAAAATGTGTTTCTTCCTCCAGGCAAATGCACTTTAAGAGGAGAAGATGCAAAAAAAAATAAACAACAGATATTCATAAGAGCAATACTACAGAGGTCAAGATATTCAGTTAATCGTATTAAAATCACAACACCAAAATAGTAAACCTAAATGTAAAACACAAAATGATCACACACTTTAGGAATGTGACAGTCTGAAAGAAAGTGACAATATTTACAACACTGCAATTTGTTATGGTGACATTCCTGAGCAGTTCATGAAGTCTTGTGAGCTTGACTAGAGACCAGTTAACCATAGCCGTACAGCATGCCCCGTTTGTCAATAACATGCGTCTTTTAGTTGGTTAGTGTTTCCCAAAAGGCTAGCATCTATCACATCACACCACGGCACGTTCTCCCAATCCCTCTACCTGCTCCTTATCGGCACGGTCGTGATTCTGTGGAGAGCATTCACTTTCCACTATCACTGGAAACAACTGCGCCAACTGAGGGGGAGAAAACATCAAACTGTTCCCAAGAGGTTTGTGATAAAAACAGACACTTTATATTGTGAATTTATGGTTGACTAATATAAGAAATGCTCCATACACCTTTATGAACTGCAGTTTTATAGTTTAAAGTTCATAGTTTTTTTTCTTCTTATTTATCTTTTACATCCAGCAGAATGGGATATTTTTATGAAAACAGTATGTATCCAAAGAGAATTCAAAAGATCTGCAAAGGAAAATATTCAACTCATTCATTTTTACATTCAGAGACGAGAAAGGATGTAGGTTCCAATACAGATTTTTTTCAGCTGGTATCACATGTTTGTTGCCGTTGTGGCCGATGATACTGATATTTGGCCATTTCTATATCAGTGTTTTAAAATCTACAACAAATCCCACAAATTAAAGCCACAGTATGTGACTTTTTAACCACAAAAAAGCATATTTAGTTTTTTATTGCACTGAAAAACTTTGAAAAACATAGTCCTTACTCTCAATGGGCTTGCCTTTATTCTTTATTCTTTGCTATGAAAGTTGCTATTCTTCCTGAGGTCCACAAAACGCAAAAACTGCCACATAAATTTCATGAATGCAGTGAACAATTTAAAAAGTCAGTAGGAAGGCCTCTCCACAAACCTGACTCTTATTTGGCCTCATTGTTGCTCCTATAGCTATAATCTTCAACAGTATACCATAAAAAAATCTATCTCCATGAGGAATGTTCCAAATAGGGGGGTGCAAAAATATTGAAATATCGATATATCGTATTGTCTAATTTGATCATACAGTATTGATATCGTGGGCTACTGTATCGATATATCACCAAGAGTAGTTTTTGGTGTATTTTACAAAATTATTTTGTGTAAGAGCTACAGTTGTGTTGACATTTTTACTGTTTTAATGAGTAAAAAGGGTGATTTTCATATAACTAAACTTTTAGCATCACAGTCATGATTTAGCCTTTTTTTCAATGAACAGTACTGAATTGATTTGAAAAATATGTTATCGAATCGTATTTAATCAAAAGTGCACTGTATTGAAAAATGCATTAGAGCAGTGCACTCGACGCAAAACAGTACAGCGTGGGATACATTTTGAAAGCTCATTGCGGGTGCGGGCATGAGTGGGACTGCACAAGGAGGGAGCAGGCAGGATAATAAACTGTAGTTCCGCAAACTGAAAATGAATGTAAAGTAAAATATACAAACGATTAATGTATGCCTATCATACGTCATTTGTGCTCAATATTTTATTTGGCATTAATAAAAACATTTTAAGCAGGCTAAACTTGCAGACATGGTCTAATCTCGCATACATGTTATATAATTCCTTTCCGCATCTCTGTGTTTGATAGAGTTTAAGAAAGCAAATGTCAACTTCTTGCGGGACTTGCAGGAGAGAACAGGACAAAATATTGCAGATGCGGGTGGGAGCGGGAAGAAAAATTACAGTTCTTTGAGGGGCGTGGACTGGAGTGAGACTGCACAATGAGAGTGCGGGTGGGAGCGAAACTGAACATTCCGTCCCACGCAGACCTCTAAAACTTATCATATTGTGGTCCATGCATCAAGGTATGTATCATATAGGCAACTTCTTAACTACCCAGCCCTAGTTCCTTTTAACTTTACATTTCCATGGAGTCCTGCAGGTGATTTGCCAATTCCATCAAGTTACACACTGTACCTTTAAGTAAAGTTGTTGTAAGTTCAGTAACAAATATACTACACTGATTCTGGTACTCTTTATGTCAAATTTTAGAATACACAGTTACACAGTCACCTCTTTAGCTTTACCCCTCATCTATATCTATCTATCTATCTATCTATATCTATATCTATCTATCTATCTATCTATATCTATCTATCTATATCTATCTATATCTATCTATCTATCTATCTATATCTATCTATCTATATCTATCTATCTATATCTATCTATCTATATCTATATCTATCTATATCTATCTATCTATCTATCTATATCTATCTATATCTATCTATCTATATCTATCTATATCTATATCTATATCTATCTATCTATCTATATCTATCTATCTATCTATCTATCTATATCTATCTATATCTATCTATCTATATATATCTATCTATCTATCTATCTATCTATCTATCTATCTATCTATCTATCTATCTATCTATATATATATATCTGTGGTCTGTATCTCCTCCTTTGGCCAGCTTACACACACCAGACAAGACCCACGGTGTAGACTGTGCAAAGAGGCTCCTGAGACAGTCCAGCACATAACTGCAGGGTGTAAGATGCTGGCAGGGAAAGCATACATGGAGCGACATAACCAAGTTGCGGGCATAGTGTACAGAAACATCTGTGCAGAGTATGGGCTGGAGACCCCAGGATCAAGGTGGGAAACACCTCCAAAGGTTGTGGAGAATGACCGAGCCAAGATCCTGTGGGACTTCCAGATACAGACTGACAGAATGGTGATGGCGAACCAACCAGACATAGTGGTGGTGGATAAGAAACAGAGCAGAGCCGTGGTGGTTGACATCGCAATACCAAGTGATGGTAATATCAGGAAAAAGGAACACGAGAAGCTAGAGAAATACCAGGGGCTCAAGGAAGAGCTGGAGAGAGCCTGGAAAGTAAAGGCATCAGTGGTGCCTGTGGTGATCGGAGCACTCGGGGCTGTAACCCCCAAACTGGAAGAGTGGCTACAACAGATACCGGGAAAAACAATGGACATCTCAGTCCAGAAAAGTGCAGTACTGGGAACAGCAAAGATACTGCGCAGAACTCTCAAGTTCCCAGGCCTCTGGTAGAGGACCCGAGCTGAATGAGGGTGAGAGAGACCTACCACCGTGGAAGGTGAGAAACACACATTTTTTTTTTTTTTTTTTTATATATGTATAGTGATTCCAGATTTCATATCTTTTTCCTGATTTCAATAAAAAGGTATTAGAAGCATAAATTGCTCGTCCATCCCTAAAGGAGAGCACTGCTAACACTGCTGATCACACTGATGGACAATATTGCTGAAGTGGTAGAAGGTGACCTAGCTGCTGAACACTTTGCTAATGAGGAACATAGTTATTATGTTATGCAGCACAGTATTGTCTCACAAAAGCCCACACGGTCACGCTCTCATCCCCGCCACGCTTTGATCTACTAAAACCTCCGGCTTCACACTCTATAAATAGCATGGAGATTGATGAAGAGAAAATCGATGACGGTGACGACAGAGAGCACGTGCTGGATCCTCTCTCTGAACACAAAAACACTGGACTGGAGCAAGCTAGCACGGCTTTATTTTCCTGCAGAGATGGAGCTGTAGTTCCAGTAGCAGGCAGCTGACTCCACTCTGCAGTCGCTATAGCAGCAGCCCGCACCCAATAGAGGAAGAGTGACGCAGTCCTGGGACTCTGCTGAGAAAGCAAGTTCTCCAAAACAATACTGGATGGGTCCTGGATGCATACACCTTTTAGAGTAACTGTATCAGTGCAGGGATTGAAAAAGTGTTGATTTTATGACCCCCCCAAAAAAATGGATCAAAGTGTGGATCAGTTTTTTGTT